AAGAATAAACCACAAAACTACCTCTCACTGTTTATGGGAGAATTGGTAGGCCCTTGAAGGAGATGCTTCCTGTACCAAGCCCCCCCATTCTCCTGATTTCCATGTTGTGGTTTCGCTCAGTAATTCTTTCCATCCATCTGGAATACAGCGTATGACCATTTGCAGGTTCTCATCCCGTCTGTGACATCCCTTGAGCCTACAGGCGAGATCCTGTTCTGACACCCAGCCTTTTCTCTCCTCATCCCATATGTGGCAGACTTTCCAAACTCCATGCCTTATCCAAGATAGCCATCTCCTTCCTCTAGGTTTAAGGGTTAAAGGGTGGTCACTCGCGTCCTTCACTCAAGGATTGTCGAACAGGGGTTGTCTCAACGCCTCTTCTTTGGACTTGGGTCTGCCCACTTTTTTGGGCATGATTTTCCACCATATCCGTAGCAGGGCGGTCCAGTAGGGTGTGGGAGGTCTGTCTACCCTTACCCCACTCCCTTTTCGTCGATTCCTTTGGCCTGTATTTGGGCTCCATTCTTTGTTCATTACCCAGAAAAGTCCCGACATGTTCGCCGGGGTGTCTACAGGAGCTAAATTCCTGATACTGTTCAAGGCCAGTTTGTTTCATGCTAGTCCAGGTCTGGTGAGGAGCTTAACAATTCATTTAACTTGTAGGGCCTTAGTTTCTTGTCTGGGGTCCATGATGCCTAGTCCACCTTCAGCCGGTTTCCTCGTAATGTAGTGCCAGGCTATTCTCCCACAAACAGCAGGGTTCGCCCACTCTGGCTGTATTCACCTCTTTTCCAATCACTCATTCAACTCAAGGGCTTTCATCCATCTTGAATGAGGGGGTAGAAAGAACAGTTTTAAATAACTTTGTGCTTAGAAAAGTCAGAGTACTGGGGCAATGGCCAAAATTGATCTTCAGAATGGATACGGCAATTCAGGACTTGGAATTCGACCCAGCAGAATGGGCCTGGACACCAGGAAGAAGCAAAAATCTGAGAACCAATACACTCATCCAGGATTAAACAGTCAAACTGGGTTACAATCTCCTAAATAAAACGAAGGACCCGGATCCCACAATAAAAAATAGATGGACGAAGCTGATTGGGCCGGAAGCCACTCACATATCGCAGATACCGTGGAAGAAATTCAAACCAATCCGACCGGTCAAAATTAGAAGCCTTCAATGGCTCATCTCAGGAATTTATGATAATAATTGAATGAATAAATAGACCAAATAATAATCATCCGATCCGCACAGCATTTGCTTTAACTTGCTTGGTTCCCGTTCCAGGACTTTATGGGAAATTGTTGGGTGATGGCGGGGTGGGGGGGGGGGGGGGGGGTGGGGGGGGGGGGGGGGGGGGGGGGGGGGGGGGGGGGGGGGGGGGGGGGGGGGGGGGGGGGGGGGGGGGGGGGGGGGGGGGTTTGGAGAGGTCGGGGGCGATGTTAGGGGCTAGGGTAGTGTGTTGGAGGTGAACGCCGTGTTCATTGGTGTATGTTGTGAGTTGAGGGGTGTTAGGCTTTCTGTGCTTTCTTAGGGACCAAGGCTTCAGGGAGGTTTGGCGGGTGTGTGGCGCGGCGAGGGGGGATGTATGGGTTAAACGCGCTCTTTTGTGAGTGCCGGTGAGTGGTGGGGTGCGGGGGAAAGATGGGGACTCGCGGAGGCGATCGTGCTGGCTAGGTTTTGCTATTGCTATTTGGATACTGCCCGACTCGTACTATTTGAACCGGCCTTTGAACCACGATGACTACTTAATGAAGTGTGGTACTACCTGTCATATAGGCTTATCATTGGCCGTATCCTATTCCTTCTAAATCCGGGTAAGGTCTCGCCTGGGAACGGAAAAGGCTCATTTCTAGTTTCCTTTCTTGGCTGCTACTTGTGCGTGAACTTTCTATCCTATTTTTGACAAAGTGCGCCCTAGATCCGAACTGGCTTGTCTCTCTCTCCCTTCTACTGATGCCTTCTGTTGTCGTTGTTCCTTCGTTCTGAGCGCTCGACCTTTCGTCCTTCTGCTGTCCTTTGTGTACAAGCCGATGAGGTTGAATAGCGATGTCTGATCTTACCTTGGGCAACCCCCGACGGCTGACCAAACCTGGTACAGCGTGATGATGAAGCAGGAACTCATTTGTCGCGTACTGCTTCGGCGCTCGATAATTCCCTGTTCGCATCAGCTCCGCCTGTTGTTCCTCCTTGTTTTGTGAAATTCTCTCTCGTCTTCCTTTCCCTTGCCGGATCCCCGCCCCTTTGTCCTTTCCCTCATTTAGGATTACCAGTTTCCTTCCCACTCAATCATTCCAGTCTTTCTCCACCTTCCTTCTCTTCCCTTTCTCTCCCTTACACTTGACAGCCCTATGATTGGCTTGGGGCGGCCACGCCCGAAGGCGTGGCGTGGTGTGTTGGCGCGTGCTTGCCCTTTGTCCCTCTATCTCCTTTCTCAAATTCGAAGGCGCGCGGAGGTTTGTGCGCGTCGCTTTCTCGTGTCACCTGGAAACCGCAACGCGTGAATTAGCGCTGTGTGTTAGCGCTTACCGGACCGGCGCATGCGCTCTCGATTCTTCATTCCCAATAGCTCTGACCTATGTGTACTATGCTCGGAAAATGAACATGAAGACATGATACACTGCCTAATAAGGTGCAAGGAAGCGATGCAGTATTGGGCCAGAGCCTCAGACCTGTGGACATCCGTTTTCCCGACTCCCCTCCCCGAACACCCCATCCAACTCCTCCTCTGGACTAACATTCCACCTCAGCTCCATAAGTCCGAAAAGATATGGTTTGCGATGATCAGAAAAGTAACACTCTGGTCTATATGGAAGGAAAGGTGCAGCAGAACTATCGAAGGGCTATCAACGCCAAGGGAGAAAGTTCGGGCGGAGACAAGGACACTAATCCAGGCAGAGATCTTATGCAAGTGGCAGACGACAAGACAATCCATGACGGACGAGGCGGACCAGCAGCAGAGAACAGTGAAAAAAATTACAAAGATTTGGCTGGCAGGCGGCAAGGTAGCAAAAATAAAGGACTCTCGCGTATGTTGGAAGGACTGGCACAACTCAGAAGTGGGCCTGAGAAGACAGAGAATCCAGCAAGCTCCAGCGCAGGCCACACAAGTATCATAACATAAGGCCATGCAACTGGACAGGAGTTGCTCAAGTGTGACTGGTGGAAGCAAGACGTCTATTCCACATACTTACAGGTTCTACATACAGGTTCTGCATACAAAAGCATCCAAGACGCAGGCGCTACAGGCGGCTTCTGATGTGTCAGAGGGAGCAGTCGGAAAAAAGATTAATCTTGGTTAGGGTCCAGGGTTTAGGGTTGAGGCCTTGGACAGAAACAAGACAAACAGGGGTTAGAATGCCAGGTTTTTCACTGTGCCTCAAATGCAGGGTTCAAGGTTCTTACACAGAATTGGTAGCAGCGGTAGCTTATCAGACCTTTCTTGATTTTCATGTTCTATTTGACAGGTTCTTATATTAATCCTGAGAGGAAAGGTGGAAGCAGGGTAAGCTGACAGTCAATCCTCCACGAGGTTGGAGCAATCAATGCTGATCAGGGTTGCTTCCGCCAGACGGAAGGAAGCGTGAGGGTATCCTATGATGTTATTATTTTTCCTGACTTGCAAAGCCTGGCAGGCATTTCTTTTCCACCTCCGAGTCGCCAAAAAGATGCTCGGAGAAACTGGTTGTTTAACACGATGGGCGACACACGCAATGCTAAGTAAGTAGCACAGAGATTTTGACAGCTTGATGAAGATCTGCAGAAGTTTGTTGGGTTCGTCACAACGGGTGTTGGAGATCCATCTGGCCGGGCAACGGGCACTCGACAAACATTGATTGACTGTTGCCCTGCTCACAGGGCCTCTGGCACAGTGCAGCAGGGAGAAGCCTGGGGAGAAGCATGCGTGGCACAGTCCGGTCTATTCTTTCTGATGATGGTGGTGGGGTGAGGTGAGCTGCTGGTCGCCTGAACAGTGGAATGGAGGGAGCCCTGTTCAGTGTCCAAAAACACAGAAAAAAAAACAAAGGGGCAAGTACGTTTGTGTCACAAACGAAGTTCCAAAGGGCAAAAAAAACAATAATGGGCAACGAAAAAATGGCCGTAGTTCGAAAAGGCAGTCGTAACATCAGAAGGCGGTAACATCAGGCCCCGAGTTTGAAAAGGGCCGTTGTTGCACACTTTCCTTTTTTTTTTTTTTTTTTTTTTTTTCCGCGGCCGTGGCCGAGACATGTCAGCCGTGGCCAATTTGGGGTGTGGCCGAGACATCTCGGCCATGGGCCAATTTGGGGTGTGGCCGAGACATCTCGGCCATGGCCCAATTTGGGGTGTGGCCGAGACATCTCGGCCATGGCCCAATTTGGGGTGTGGCCGAGACATCTCGGCCATGGCCCAACCATGGGGCCTTTTTTTTTTTTTTTTTAAGCCCCGGGGGGGCGCGGCCGGAAACGCCTTCGGAAAAAAAAGAAAAAAAAAAAAAAAAAAAAAAGGGTGCTACAACCCCCCTTTTCAAACTCGGGGCCTGATGTTACCGCCTTCTGATGTTATGACTGCCTTTTCGAACTGCGGCCATTTTTCCGTTGCCCATTAGTGTTTTTTTTGCCTTTACAGTTTGAAAGTGTGCTACTATCGCACTTGTTTCAAAAACAAAAGGAGGACCAGGTTCTGACCAACCCATTCGGGCATATGCAGTTTATGTTCCGAGTCTTTTGACAGAGGTTGTCAAGCGTATGGACTTTTCGGCCAAGTTCGGCGACAAAATTTCGATTTCCTTTTGTTTTTTCGAGAAACAGGTCGGACTCCTTTCAATGGATTTTCATCCTGCGGCTTGTACAGATCTGAATTGTCTGCAGGTCCCAATCGAACTGTTCAGTTTCATCGTAGCTTAACTATTCGTCCTTTAGTACCTTTAGGTCCTTTACCCATTTCCATCTTCATCCATGGCTTCCATTCACAATTGATGTCATGCTCAATGTACTCTGTTTTTCCTGATGATCCACAGGTGTCCCAAGGAGACGCGATCACTGGCTTAATCCCTAGGAAAGCAGTGGCAAGAGTGTGTGTGGAGGCGTTGGACTCGCCCAATGCAGCAAAAACCACATTTGAGGTAGGATTTCAGCTCATCTACCTTCTTTTCTGAGTCTTGTGACTGATCTGATTGCTGAGGGCATATACTCACGTGAGCACTCTCCTAAATGTATCTGACTGCAACTACGTCCGGACCTCCATGCATCTGACTGCAATCATGTCCCAAGTCCTTGTGTGAAATTTCCTGAGTCACAAGCAAATTGTCACAGGAAAATTGAGTCACAAACCAGCTGACAAAAAAGGAGTCCCAACACTCCCAACAAAAAAGAGTCCCAAACCAACTGAGTCAGAAAACAGTTGAGTCACAAAATAGTTACGTCACGAAAGAGTCAAGTGTTGCCACTTTTTGAATTTGTCGTCGCTTTTTTTTGGGGGGGCGAACTGAACCTTATGATCAGAAAGAAGTCCAGTTATTTTTCAAAGACCCTTGAGGGTTCTGCTCCTAAGGGTGAGTACACAAGCACACGATCACTACGATCGGAGTCAAAAAAAAAAAGAAAAAAAAAAAGAAAAAAAAAAAAAAAGACATTATTGAGGGAGATGCAATCCAAGAGGCCGCAACAACGTGAGCACCAAATTACGGTGCACCGGTTCCTTTTGCGCCGGCTCCTTCAGCACCGGCTGCTTTAGCACCGGTTCCTTTAGCACCAAAGTACAGCTCCTTTAGCACCGCCTCCTTTAGCACCGCCTCCTTCAGTGCCGGTTCCTTTAGCACCAAATTACGGTTCCTTTAGCACCGGCTCCTTTAGCACCGGCTCCTTTAGCACCAAATTACGGTTCCTTTAGCACCGGCTCCTTTAGCACCGGCAAGTCAAAGTTACGTGAACAACCCACTCGAATGCTTCCCCACATTGCGGCCCAGGGAGGCCTGACAGAACTGATTACTTCCGTCTGTAGAGCCCATATGTATAACAGCCAGTCCCCTTCCCCTATACAATCTGCAACCGAAAAAGCAATCACGAAAGCCGGACCAGTGTTGCCACTCTCGGTCCAGTTCCTCTTCCACCAGCAAGTTGGAAAAAAAAATACGTAGAAAGCAGATACCTACGGTACGCTCCCTCTCATTACGCCCAGAGGAACCCCAATTGTATTGATTACCTCTTTGGGGAAAGGATTAACGAATAGGCTTGCCCATACGTAGATACTATCTTCCTCACTTCTAGGCCCCTTACCTTTCCAAGAACATGCTACTGAAAACTTGGTGTAGCTCATTCCCCTCGGCCTCAACTTTGGCTCCCTGATAAAGTTTAACCCCCTTTTTGCTTTACAAGAACTGGCCTCATTGCCTGCCTTATCTAGCCCTTTTATACACATCTAGATGTGTATAAGAGACAGGTGTTAGCGGTGCTGATAAGAGCAGGCACCGCTAACACCTGGGGGGGAGCTCCATCTATTGGTGGGGAGCGACACCTGCTGGAAAACGGGTCCAGCGTCCCTTACATGGGCAGAATTCGAANTTTTTTTTTTGGGATGTGTTAGCGGTGCTGATAAGAGCAGGCACCGCTAATACCTGGGGGGGAGCTCCATCTATTGGCGGGGAGCGACACCTGCTGGAAAACGGGTCCAGCGTCCCTTACATGGGCAGAATTCGAACTATATCAGAGAAACAGAGATGTGGAATATTCCTGCCAGCATTGATTACCCTGGGGTCCAGGGGATTGACTGAGCACGATGTTGGGGGGGGAACCTCTTCAACCTGAACCTGGCGCCAGATACCTGCTACCACACCCTGGTGCCTCCCACCCCCTACCTTTAAGATATCCCTTCTATTGATGCTGCTGGCCCCACTTAGCGCTGCCTACCATTGCATGTCTACCACCTGCTGGAAACCGGGTCCAAACCGGGTCCAGTGTCCCATATACAGAAGAAATTTGGAGCACGTCCGGAAAAGGGAGCGGGAGACTCCTGCCAGCATTGATTACTCTGGAATCCAGAAGATTGACTGAATTGGTGGACTCTTATGGAGAACCCATGCTGCATTATGAATATATTTTGAAATTAGCCCAAAAAAAAAAAACGGAGTTCCAAGACACGAGTGAGAAATTGATGTATTTTGACAGGATGATCTCATTCCGTACATAAATTATTTTGTTTTTCCGAACTTTTTCGTGAATTAGCATCCAGAGGTGCTTTATATGGCATAAATAAGTCTACGTGGGATTTTTTTACAATATTCAGTGGAGCAAATACAAGATAGCATGGTGGTGCACGTGCTGCTCCTCACGAATAGATTGGAGCCTTGTCCCCATTTAAAAAAAAAAAAAAAAAAAAAAAAAAAAAAAAAAAAAGGATAGGATGGTGGTGGTTGAAACAGGGCTGAAAATTGTACGGGAGCGAGGCCAATTGTTGGGGTGGCAGAGATGCTGGGCTTGTTGTGCGTGTGGTGGTGGGGCTGCTGCTGATGATGATGATGATGATGGTCGGCTTCGTAATGGCTTTTTTTTTTTTTTTGGATTTTGTAACGCGTTGCAGGTCCGTTGTGATGTTGTATCAGAAGGCCTCGAGCAGAAGGATTACCAAGGACTTTTTGAGAGATTGCGCCCTGACCTGTGTCCGAGGCCAGTCCTTTACGTGCAGGGCCATGCCCAAACTCCCGAAGAAACCCCTTCCGAAAGAGAAAGTGTTTCTGAAGAGGTAGAAGAGAAGGTTTCAGTACAGGCCTCTTGATGCAAGATAGGGAATTGCTAATCCTTAATTGGATTACAAGAAAAAAAAAAAGAAAAAAAAAGCTTAGTTTTCCCTTATCACCACGTGTTAGCAGAGTGCGTTGTTTGTTTGTTTGTTTGTTTGTTTGTTTTTTTGTTTTTGTTTTTGTTTTTAACTTGGATTAATTTTCCCTTATCACCACGTGTTAGCAGAGTGCGCTGTTTGTTTCAAAACAAAAAAAAAAAAAAAAAAAAAAAAAAAAAACTTGGATTAGTTTGCATGCAACCTTACTGAAGGTAGATTAGAAAGGGATCCATCAAGTTTTAAGTGTTTGAAAAACTTGAAGGTCGCTTTAGACCTTCTTGAGAGAGAGAGAGAGAGAGAGAGAGAGAGAGAGAGAGAGAGAGAGAGAGAGAATAGTAAAGGGGAGTTGTATCACTGGTTAAATCAGAGCAAGGGTGTTGTTCTCCTCTATATACTCCGGAACCTGGTCATCATTTCTCTGTAACGTGCCTGCATTTAGGTGGGCAATGTGAGGGGCCTGTTTATTTCTATTGAAGCTGCTGAAGTTTTTTGTTTTTTTTTGTTTTTTTTGGGGGGGGGGTTGGGGGGGTTGGGGGGGTTGGGGTGGGATGGGGTGGGGGGCTACACAATATATGGTTGCCGTGTGGATAATAATGTTGAACGGTTTGGCAATGTAGTGATTTTTGTCTGCCATTTGATTATCTTCTGTTTTTTTTCCTGTTCTGGTAGGCCTGTGAAAATTTCTGTTCAGGTAAGCAGCGGACGGTATTCTTGGCAGTCTGGGGGAATGCTGGTACAACCAAAATGCTCTATTTAAAAATAAAAAATAAAAATAAAAAAAAAAGCTCTGAAAATAATCGTGATTCGTGAATTGTATAGGAAATCGCCGTTCACACCGTTAAACACAATCACTGCCCCTGGCGAAGAAAAAATGCCCAACTTTGCATGTCCTGTTGTGGGACGGGCGTCTAGGCTTGATTGCGCCGGCTTTCTGCTAAATATTGAGAGTGCCGACTTATGCGAGTTCTCATGCTCGGTGTATGTACTTCACCAAAATTTTTGGAAAATACTTCTGTTTTGGGGGTTGATTTTTGACTTTTCAATTTTGTAGGAAATTAGGGTCATAGACTGAGTGTCGATCTTTGCAAGAAAAAAAAAATGAGATAAAAATTTCAGCATGCCCAAAAAACTGTTGGCTGCAAAAGAATGCAGTTTTTTTTAACTTTTTTAAAGTTTTTTCCTTGCTGTTACTGGTAGGCCCAAATAGTTGGGAGTAGCTGATCATTTCACAGAATTTTATTGCACAATCCTACAGAGAAAATGCAAGAGCAAGCGATCATTGTCTCTCGACATCAACATTGAGCATACTCATGTTCATACAAGAAGATTATCGACCATTCACTCCTACGACAAATCACACTCGTACAAACACAAAGAAAAAGAGACGTGCCTTGCGGTTTCATCCAAAGAGGGGGTAAAAAGTTAAAAACACACTACCCCACTCTCGTACACGTGACTTGACCCAATCACTACATGAACACACCACCGTTTGCCCGGAGTGCCAACGGTCCCTCGTCACACGCTCAACGAAACACCCCAGTGATTGTCACTCCGCTGGTCGATCAGCACACTGGGTTCATGCAAGTCCCACAATCCGTTGCAACGATTGAGCAACCTCACTTGATCATTACCAGCCCGTTGAGACTCTCTGACTCACCCACAAAACGCATAGATCTACCTGATCTGGCCTACTGATTTGGAAGATGAGAGAGAGAGAGAGAGAGAGAGAGAGAGAGAGAGAGAGAGAGAGAGAGAGAGAGAGAGAGAGAGGTACCCTTGCAAAGTTTTGTAGTTGCAGGGCAGGAGAAGCAGCATGCATATAGCGTAGTACGCGCAAGGGCAAGGGAAAGAGAGGGGAAGGACTCCGAAGGAGGGACAGGTCCGTGGAGGTTGGTGAACTGAACTGCGGTGTGGGGGATGTAGCCTCTCTCTTCATGATGATCCAACATGCAAGAGCCATGGGAGGGGAGCGGGAGTAGAGATTCAAACAGGAAATGGGACGAATGGTACAAAGGAACAAGAGAAGAAGAGAGGGGAGAAAAAACAGTCGAACGTTTTGCGGGAAGAGCAGGAGACAAAAGGCTGAAAGAAAGATAAAGGTGCCATTTGCAAACAAAGCGTGCTAGCAAGAAACTGCATGCGTGCACAAAAGAGAATTCAAGAGGGTGCAAAAGAAAAAAGAAAAAGCTATGGATGTACTTCAGGAGAACAGACGGAGAGAAACGATGTCTGAAAAGAAAAAAGAAAAAGATGTCTGGTGCCTCTATTCTGACACGCGAATGTGGGTGGGGGATCAGAACAAAAAAATTAAGAACTAAGGTGCACTTGCTAAGGTGCAGGGGGGGCAAAAAAAAATAGCGAAAAGAAAAGCCCGAGAGGCAAACCTGCTACTTTTCTTTCTCTTGTTTTTTTTTTAATGGTGTCTCCTGTGCTCATGAGGCCCCCTCCTAACCCTCCAAGGGGGCAATAGGGTCCCCTTGTCTGTCTGTTCTTCGACAGGTGTGTGATTCCCGTCCCCCAGGAGCCAGCCCTGCCAATCCTCCTGACCCCCTGCCAGTGAGTCATCATCCGAGTCAGATAGGAGGAGGCATGGGGCGAGGTCTGAGCATAAGGGGTCGAAGCCCATGCTCTCTGATCCAGCACGTGCAATGCTGATGTGAAAAGGCGAGACACTGTATCCGCCTGGACGCACTTAGAAATGAGACTTAGAAATGAGTCGGAAGAGCCCAAGAGGCGACGACTGCTGGAAAATTTCAGAGCTAAATGGGTGGACCCGAATTGCAGGCTATGTAGATTGGACCAGTCCAATAACCTACAATGGCGACCATGGCTGTCCAAGGAGGCCCAGTGGGAATTTCTCCCGCAAGATCACTTCTCCCTCCTTTTCCAACCTACTGACTTTATCCTTATACCTGATGTCCCCGTTTTCTCACAGCCCTAGATACCTCTCTTAAAAMCCTAAACCCTCTGGCCCCTGCTATAAATGTCCATCCCCTAAACCCTCAGGCCCCTGCTGCCAATGTCCACCGCCAGTCTGCCCCCTTGGTCCTTTCCTGGCCCTCCCTTCCCTCCCCTTCCTTTCCCCCCTTTCCCCTCCCTCCCCCCCCTACCCCCAACCCCGGCCCCCCTCCCCTCTTCGTCTGCCTACCGGCCAGGACTGGTCTCCCAGAAAGACGAAGAGTGCAGTACAAATGCAAATGCAGCCAGGACAGCGGCAGGGTTGAACAACAGGCAAACTCATTTGCGGCGTATTAAGGCCGGCCGAGCTCACTCTACCAATGCAACGATCTGCACTCTTCAGAGCACCATATGAATACGCTCAGGAATATTCTTAACTACACTTTACACCACACATTGCAATGTAGCACAATGCACCTGACTTCCTTGCTTGCGCAGGGGCCATGCTAATCTTCTCTGTATCGTTCCAATTTTAACAGATGTCCTGAAGGACTGCACCTGACTTCTCTCAAACAGCTCATACACAAATTACATAATGGCACAGCACAAAACACAACAACACACGGCAACAAACAGTCACAATACTCCTGTTCTCCACGCACAACAGCACACTCACACTAAATGCCCCAAAACACTCTTAACCACACCGCACACTGTACATTGTAATATATCATGATGCACCTGAGCTCCGCACAACAGCACACACAACAGCACATACACAGTTTACACAATACCACACCCAACAACACAACACAACGGAACGACACACAGCACCACACGACAATAAACAGATAGATGTGACTGAAAGTTGACAGCCGACAGCCTTTAATTGCATAATTGCATCATTCGCTCCGGTTACTCGTGGCTTTGGCTTTGGCTTTGACAATTTTATGACAGGTAGTGGCCGGGCCGATCACTGCCAAGCCCTCTCATGCACACTGCCCCTTCCTGTTTACACTGGTTTCATAACTCGGACATTGTACTTTACATTGTACTTTACAGGGATGCTCGACCCAAATTCCAGCAGGTGCTGCTCCCCACCAATAGATGGAGCCTCCCCGACAATGCTAGTGGTGCCTGCTTTTATCAGCACCCCTAGCAGTCGCTCGGGCTGTTTCTTCAAAAAAAAAAAAAAAAAAGGCGAGACACTGTAACTGTGTTCCGTCTGTGTCTCGTGGTGTCTCTATGCTTGCAGGGGTGGCGGGGATCATGGCTTCAGTATTGCTTTTAGGCATTGCATCCCTAACAGTAGGGAGTGAAGGGCTGCACTAGAGAGGCTGCAGCAACCCGCCTATAAAGAATCTGGCATTCTTTCTTATTGAATATTTTGAGTGAACCATCTCGCAAAAGAGATCCTAAACTGTGATAGTCCTCTGGATACCCCTGATCGGTATTAGCGGGGTCTATGACCAACACGGGTGTGAGTGTGAGCGCGAGTGGGTTGTGTGTGGTGTGTGGGAGATGTGTTGGCCATAGCCTCTGCTGCTACTCGATGAAGGGTGGGGGACGATGAGAAAGGGAGGCACAGCTACTGGCAGGTCTCGGTCTTTGTGTTAGCCAGACCCCCACTGGCGGCCCCAACCCTATACCCTAACCATTAGGGGCAAGGGGCAACATGAAATCTCCCCTTCACAGAGAGAGGAAACTATGCTTGCAGGGGTCCCCTCTAGATAGTCTTAGGAGTAGGTAGTGGAAGGTAAAAGAAACAGAAGTTGAGAGAAGAATATAGAAAAAGAAAGAAAGAAAAAAAAAAAAAAAAAAATTGCTTTACAGTGATCTGACAAAGATGTTTGTTTTAATTTTTTACTAGACAAATTGATTGCGGCAGGATCTTGCAGCAAAATTGGCGGGCTTTGCTATGCCTACTATACTGTTGGCTGGGCTGGCCTAGGGCCTCGCCACACCTTTCTCCAAAACAGCGATTTGGAGCGAAGTGGCATCGCCACACCAACTCCCAAAAATCGCAGTCAGAAAGAATTTGGAGAGCGGTCAGAATGCGGTTCTCGGGAGTGCTCTCAAACTTTGTGGATCGCCCCGCCTGCAAAGCACAGGATTTGAGGAGTGGTCCGAGGCTCCTCCGATTTCGGCCCCAAACTGGAGAGTGCGCCTCGACCAACAACCATCTGTTGCCACCGTTTTGTCTGGGTTCGCCACACCACTCTCAAAATGTGAAAAAAGACAAAAATGTGGCGGGTGCATCTGGCCATGTTCTAGCGGGAAGTTCATTCTCATTTTGCACATTTCGAGAGTGGTGTGGTGAGGCCCGTCGTCTGCGCTCTCCAAAAAAATGTCGGGCCTCGTCTGACGAATTGGAGATTGCCGCCTTGGAGAGCGCAGTGTGGCGACGAGCCCTCTCGAAAGGTTTTTTCACATATCCCGCATTCGGGAGTGCTCCCAAACTTTTTTGCGTTTTCGGGATAGGTGTGGCGAGGCCCCTAAGCTGTCCCATGCGCACGTCTTCCTTAGCACCAGCATGCACAAGCCTATTCACCCCATTGATCAGTGACACCTCCCTCCTC